ACCAGCCACTCCTCGGAAGGAAGGTTGGGCAATCCTATTTCCTTAGTGATACTGCCTCGGAAACCCAAGGAGGGGTTGCTATGAGTTGGGCCAACTCGATGGCAAATAACAACAACAACAACAGTGATAAAAGGTTCTTACTGTTAATTGAGACTGCCCTTTATATGGTCCTGAGACACTCTAAAATCCCTTTCCATCACAAAGGATACAAATTTAGTTTTAGGAAGGTCCATTGAGTTTGGGATGGTCCTTGGTCCTGGGAGAGAATTGGGAAAGTATGTGGGAGATCCTAAGGGGTGGGTGAAACTGTTACTAACATGGCCCCAGGTGATTATTTCTGTTTTTTTTTTTTTTTTAGAGGATTAGATAGAATAGAATTTAACTTTACCATGATCTCCATGTTAACATCACTTGTCATGGCTGGAGATACCCTTCTTCCTTCTAGGAGTGTTCTCCTTTTTGTGGTCCCTTGTCTATGTTACCACCAATGGCAAATCCATGGCCCTACAGGTATAAGTTTAATGGGAGGTCTAGGAGGTGAAGGAAGGGACCCAATGCTAACCTTTCTTCGCCCCTTTTTCTTCAAATTTCCATAGGGCTCTTTGCATTTTTTTGAAGGAAACATCATCTAAAAGGCCTTCTTTTGGACTTTGGGACTAGATTCACAGGAAGCTAAGATTAAGCTGTGGGGAAGAGCTAATAGAAAAGAGGAAGGCTCACTTTCTTCTGTGGGGTTTCTACCAGCAAATGAAATGTTGCTTACAAACTCAACTAGTATGAGAACCTGAGAAACCAGAAAGACTAGAAAGGGGAGCGGGGTAAAGATAGTAACTTTTTCTCCTCAGATACTACAGCCAAGAAAACTTGAAAAATTAATATAACTTGAAATTTTGCCCAATATATGCTCAATAAATTGACTCAAAAATGCTTTCAGATTTAACCCAAAAAGACAATCCTATTACCAAATGATTATCAATGTTGACTAAGTTCACGGCTTCATATTTTCTTTCTTTTTTTCTTCTTTTAGGCTTTTCCTCCAAATGTGATCACTGTATTTTTTTACTGCACTTCAGTAACTATATTCTTCACAATAATCAAAGTGGTCAGTTATCGCCTACACCTCATGTTTGATAAAGGGGAAGTAATTCAGCAAAGGCCCTCCAGAAAGAAAGAGAAGCCAAATAAAGACAAAGAGACCAATAGTGAACACATAACTAATCACAAAAATTCAAGGTAACTCTTCCAATTAATGTGTCAGTTCATAATTAAAATGTTCTAATTTTGATGAAAAATATTTTTCTCAGTTTGTAGTTGTTTATGAAAAGATGCCAGTAAAGATAGATACACACACACACATACACACACACACATATTTTAAACATTTTTCAGTTCAGCATAATATTGATATGCCTAATCAAGATGGTCTAACTGGTTATCAGTATGGCCTTATATCCTGAACTGAAATTCATTTGTATTAGTCTTGGCACTTTGCTTCAGTATTTTTATCTTGTCATTTAAATTCTGACAGCATGTAAAAGTATTTTAAAAAATAACATCCATGTTAGTTAATGTGAAAGTAATAAATATTAAAATTATTCCCTAGTAAGCATCATTGCACTATTCTATCCTTGTTTCTAATTGTTCCTTAACACAGCATGCCCTATAATTTTAAAATAATGTTTATGTTTACTATGCTCCCTGAAAAATAAGACTTGTATATAATGAATATAAAAAAATGGACTCTGGGGGAAAAAAGGTGGTTTTGGACTAATACTGGAAGAGTCATAGTTGTATTTTATAATATCAATTTCTTATGTCTCTCATTTTGGATTAGCAATAATAGGCAGATCAACAATGGCAAAAAGGAAGAAGTCAATCACAACATCACTACGCCTCCTCTCCACTGCAGCTCCCGAGGGCAAAGCATAAACTCTCACCACTCTTCCGGGCTGATGGTTAGTGCTGTTTCCTTCTGTCAGTTTGTTTTTGTGTTAGATTCTACTTGGAATGGAAGTGTACAAAGGCAGCATTTGTATTTTGCATGCAGACTAGTTGTATATTCATAAGTACTGGCCTCTGTGTTAATGGAATATTACATCCTCAGAGTGTGGAAGTGGCCTGAGGTGAGCCCTGAGACCACAAGATAAACACCCAGTTCCTGTGCTCTGATCACCTCCGTGGCCTCTTCTGTCCTTGGCTCCCAATTTGCATGCCTGCCAAACTGGCTAGAGCACTTAGTTGCAGACCTCCGTTTTCCTCTCCCTTCCTCTGTCTGTCATGCATCTGAGACATCATGTGTTCAATGCCTTTCACCTAGAATCAATTCCCCTGTCCACTGCTTTCTACACTGAAACCACAGTAAAAGCACATTTCTTTCTGCAGAAGTCATTCATTCATCTTTTTTTCTAGATTAACTTTAGCAGGCTCTATTTATTCTACTATATGTAGCACCTTATTTTCTTTCCTAATTACCAACTTCCTTAATTTCAGTATAGCTCTCTTGCTTGTTGGTTGGATGTCTATACTGACATATGTATTTTCTTTTTCTATCCTCGGAAGGAAGGTTGGGCAATCCTACTTCCGTAGTGATACTGCCTCAGAAACCCAAGGAGGGGTCGCGATGAGTCAGGGCTGACTCGACGGCACATAACAACAACAACATTCATTTTTGATACCTATTTTATTAGAAGCTTAATGAGAGTGGGCCCTCTGTTGTCTCTTCCTTACATGCTTTTAGAAAAATGGTGGCTGCTGATGATTATCTGCTGGCTGCCTGGAAATGTGCAGTGAGCTGAGTCATATATTGATTTTTTTGTTCTTTCATTTATTAGGAGTTGCCAGCACAGGAAACAGTGGAAGACCTCAAAGGTACAGTACTTGTTATCATTATTTAATATTTTATCACAGCAGTAAAAAATATTTTTTATAAAACACTGTTGTGTGTTCAGAAGAAATAGATGACCACTATAAAGTCCAGAATTTGGAAGAGTCTTTATTTAGCTATAGCTGGGCTGCAGGGAACTAAAGTGTTCTTCCCAACTGCAGCCCCAAGCCTGTTTTCAGGCAGGTTTATATAGCTTAGGACTGCAACCAGGCAAGCAAGCGTGTCACAGAAGCGAGATAAATTGTCAGTTATTGTTTAGGGAAGATTCATGGTCAGCTTACTATTTTAAGAAAGGTTGGTGGTCAGCTTATTATCAGAACGGAAACACACAATCCGGAGTAAGTGTTCTCAATTCTGAGAATTTCTGTTGGCAGGATGTGGGCCCCTAACTCTGGGAATTACTATTAACAGGACTCTCAGGGAAAGGTAGGGGTGAGTGGGTTCTCAGGGATATTTGATTCAGATAGCTACTGGGCTCTCTGAGAAGGATAGGGAGAAGTAGAAATGCTGTTATGCTGGAGTGCTGTGAAATGGACTTTGCTGCAAAATAGAGTTTTAACAAGTTATTACAGAATAGAATCATCTACTTCACACAATGCTAGTGAATTAATTGAAAATGAGAATGGTAGGACTGCATATTATCTTTTTTTTTTTGGTAAAAATATATACAACAAAACACATGCCAATTTAACAATTTCTACATGTATAATACAGTAACATTGATTACAGTCTTCAAGTTGTGCAACCATTCTCAATATCCATTTCCAAATATTTTACCTTTTCCAAATCCTTTACCAAATATTTTAATATACTCTGTTAATGCCTTCTAAACAGTAACTCTCCTATTTCTCCTTTCTCTCACCGCTATAACCCTTAAAAATTTTTAGTTTCTATATATTTGTTTATTTCATATAAGTGAGATCATGAAAGGATCATATGTGTCCTTTTGTTACTGACTTATTTCATTCAACGTAATGTTTTTAAGATGCAATGAGTAATATCCCATTACCTATATACACTAAGTTCTGTTTATTCATCTATCGATGGATAAATATTTTCGTTGTTTCCATCAATTGGCTGTTGTGTAAAGTGCAATGGACATTACTGTACAGGTTTCTCTTTGTGTTTGTACTTTCACTTCTTTTGGATGTATACTGAGGATTGTGATTGCTGGTTCATATTGGTAATTCTACGTTCATCTTTTTGAGAAACTGTCCAACAGTTTTCCACAGTGGCTATACCATTTTCCATTCCCACCAACAATGGATCAGGCTTTCAGTTTCCCCCATGACCTTTCCAATACTTACTTTTTTTTTTTTGATCATTCTAATGGGAATTAACAAACTCTGGTGACATAGTGGATAAGGCATTTGGCTGCTAACTAGCAGGCCAGCAGTTCAAACCCACTAACTTCTCTGTGGGAGGAAAATGAGGCAATTTACTTTTGTAAAGATTTAAAGCCTTGGAAACCCAATGGGGGTTGCTAAGAGTCAGAATCAACTCGATGCAATGGGTAATGGGAGTGAGGGTATCATTGTGGTTTTGATTTGCATCAACCTAATGTCTAATAATTTTGAGTGTCTTTTCTTATACTTGTTTTCCATTTGAATATCCTCTTTGGTGAAATGTCTATTCAAGTTCTTTGCCCAATTTTTAATTGAGTTGTCTTTTTCTTGTAACTTGTAGAAGTATCTTATATATTGTATATAGTAGCCACTGCCATTGAATTGATTCTGACCCACAGTGACCCCCATTGTGTTTCAAAGGCTGTAAATCTTTTCTTTTCTTTTTTTCCCCCTATTAATTTATTTTACTCTTACTGTGGGAAAAACATACACAAGACATTTGCCATCATAACAACTTTCAGATTTACAGCTCAGGGACTTTGATGACATTTTTCACGTTGTGCCACCATTATTGCTGTCTTTTTCCAAAATATTCCACCACCATTAGCATAAACTCAATGCCCCTGAACAAAAGCTTCCCCTTTCCCCCTCCCTCCTACCCCTGATAACTACTAATAATGTTTGGTATATATACATATATATTTATCTTTTTTTTTTTTCCTTCAACCTATCTAGAAACTTTCCCTCTCCCCAGCAAATAAAGTTTCCTTCCATGTACAAACCTTTCCTTGACTTTTTACAATACTGGACTAATACAATATATGTCTTTCTGTGATTGACTTATTTCACTCAGCATAATGTCCTCCAAGTTCATCCATGTTATGCAGTGTTTTGCAGATTCTACATTATTTTTTAGGGTTGTATAGTATTCCATTATGTGTATGTAACACAGTTTTTATCCATTAGTTGGTAGATGGGGACTTAGCTTGTTTCTATCACTTTGCTATTGTGAATAGTGCTGCAATGAACATGTTGTTGTTAGGTGCTGTTTAGTCATCTGTAACTCATAGCAACCCTATGTACAGCTGAATGAAACACTGCCTGGTCTGTGCCAGCTCCACGATCCCTGCTATACTTGAGCTCATCGTTGCAGCCACTGTGTCAATCCATATTGTTGAAAGCCTTCCCCTTTTTCGTTGACCCTCCACTTTACCAAGCATGATATCTTTCTCCAGGGAATGGTTCCTTCTGAGAACATGACCAAAGTAGGTAAGAAAGTCTTGCCATTCTCGCTTCCAAGGAGCATTCCAGCTGCACTTCTTCCAGGACAGATCTGTTAGTTCTTTTAGCAGTCCATGGTACTTTCAGCATTCTTCACCAACACCACAATTCAAAAGCATCGACTCTTCTCCGGTCTTCTTTATTCATTATCCAGCTCTCACATGCATATGAAGAGATTGAAAATATCATGGCTTGTGTTGGGCGCATCTTAGTCTTCAAGGAGTTATCTTTGGTCTTCAGCACTTGAAAGAGGTCCTTTGAAGCAGCCACTCCTCAGAAGGAAGGTTGGGCAATCTTCCTCTGTAGTGATACTGCCTTGGAAACCCAAGGAGGGGTCACTGTGAGTCAGGTCCGATTTGATAGCACATAACAACAACAACAACAACATGTGTCGTCTGATATTTTGACTGCTGCTTCCATTGGTTTTGATTGTAGAACCAAGTAATATGAAGTTTTTGACAACTTCAATCTTTTCTCCATATATCATGATGCTGCTTATTGGTCCAGTTGTGGATTTTTGTTTTCTTTATGTTGAGGTGTAATCCATACTGCAGACTGTAGTCTTCAATCTTCATCAGTAAGTGCTTCAAATCCTCTTCACTTTCAGCAAGCAAAGTTGTGTCATCAGTGTGTTGCAGATTGTTAATGAGTCTTCCTGTAATCCTGATGCCATGTTCTTCTTCATACAGTCCAGCTTCTTGGATTATTTGCTCAGCAGACAGATTGAATAAGTATGGTGAAAGGATACAACCCTGATGCACTAACTTCTTGCAGTGTTCTCTTGCAATGTCCCCTTGTTCTGTTCAAACAACAGCCTCGTGGTCTATGTACAGGTTCCTCATGAGTACAATTAAGTGTTCTGGAATTCCCATTCTTCTCAATATTATCCATAATTTGTTATGATCCACACAATCAAATGCTTTTGTGTAGTCAATAAAATACAAGTAAACATCTTTCTGGTATTCTTTGCTTTGAGCCAAGGTCTGTCTGAAATTAGCAATGATAAAGAGCTCTGGTAGCATAGTGCCTAAGGCACTTGACTGCTAACCAGAAGGCTGGCGGTTCAAACCTACCAGCCACTCCTCGGAAGGAAGGTTGGGCATTCCTACTTCCGTAGTGATACTGCCTCGGAAACCCAAGGAGGGGTCGCTATGAGTCGGGGCCGACTCGATGGCAAATAACAACAACAACAACATCCCTCGTTTCACATCCTCTTCTGAATCCAGCTTGCATTTCTGGAAGTTCTCTGTCAATATACTGCTGAAGCCATTTTTGAATGGTCTTCAGTAAGATTTTATTTGCGTGCGATATTAATGATATTGTTTGATAATTTCCACATTCTTTGGGCTTACCTTTCTTTGAAATGGGTACAAATATGGATCTCTTCCAGTCAGTTGGCCTGGTAGCTGTCTTCCAAATCTCTTGCCATAGCCAAGGGAGTGCCTCCAGTGCAGCATCCATTTGTTGACACATCTCAATGGGTACTCCATCATTTCCTGGAGCCTTGTTTTTCACCACTTCCCTCAGTGCAGCTTCTATTCTTCCTTCAACACCATTGGTTCTTGATCATATGCCACCTCATGAAATGGATGAACATTGACCAATTCTTTTTGGTACAGTGACTCTATATATTCCTTCCATGTTCTTTTGATGTTTCCTGCATCATACAATATTTTGTCCATTGAATCTCAGTATTGCAACTTGAAGTTTGAATTTTGTCTTCAATTCTTTCAGCTTGAGAAATGCCAAGCCTCTTCTTCTCTTTTGGTTTTCTAACTCTAGGTCTTTGCACATTTCATTATATTAATTGACCTTGTCTTCTCGAGCTGCTCTTTGAAATCTTCTGTTCACCTGTTTTATTGTGTCATTTCTTCCATTTGCTTTAGCTACTGTTCACTCACGGGCAAGTTTCAGAATCTTTTCTGACATCCATTTTTGTCTTTTCTTCCTTTCCTGTATTTGTAATGACCTTTTGCTTTCTTCATCAATCACATTCTTGATGTCATCCCACAATTCCTCTGGTTTTCGGTCATTGGTGTTCAAATCTATTCTTTAGATGCTCTCTAAATTCAGGAGGGATATATTCAAGGTCATAGTTTGGCTGTTATAGACTTGTTTTAATTCTCTTCAACTTTAACTTGAACTTGCATATGAGCAGTTGATGGTCTGTTCCTCAATCAGCTCCTGGCCTTGTTTTGGCTGAAGATACTGAGCTTTTCCATCACCTCTTTCTACAGATGAAGTCAGTCTGATTCCTGTGTAATCCATCTGGCAAAGTCCACATGTATAGCCATCATTTGTGTTGTTTAAAAAAGGTGCTTGCAATGAGTAAGTCATTGGTCTTGCAAAATTCTATCATGTGATCTCCAGCATTATTTCTATCACCAAGGCCAAATTTTCCAACTACTACTGATTCTTCTTTGTTTCCAATGTTTGCATTCCATTCAGCAATGATTGCATCTCAATTGCGTATTTACCCAATTTCAGACTGCAGAAGTTGATAAAAATCTTCAATTTCCTCATCTTTAGCTTTGGAGGTTGGTGCATAAATTTGAATAATAGTAGAATTAACTTGTCTTCCTTGTAAGTGTATGAATATTATCCTATCACTGGCAGCATTGTACTTCAGGATAGCTCTTGAAACATTCTTTGTAACAATGAATGTCACACAATTCCTCTTCAAATTGTCGTTCCTGCCATAGTCAATCATATGGTTGTCTAAATCAAAATGGCCAAAACTGGTCCATTTCAGCTCACTAATGCATGTGATATCAATCTTTATGTGTTCCATTTCATTTTTGACAATGTCCAGTTTTTCTACATTCATACTTTGTGCATTCCATGTTCCAATTATTAATGGATGTGTGCAGCTCTTTCTTCTCATTTTGAGTCATGGCATGTCATCACATGGAGGTCTTGTAAGCTCTGCTTTATCTATATCATTAAGGTTCATTGTATTCTGATGAGGCAGCTCTTTTCCAGTGATATTTTGACTGCCTTCCTCCCTGAGGGACTCATCTTCTGGCACTGTTTTGGGCAATATTTCAGCACTATTCATAAAGCTGTCCAGTGATGAATTTGCAATGTCTAATTCATTAGACAGTGTTTCATTGCTATTCATAAGGTGTGCATGGTAACATGGCTGTGCATATATCTATTTGTGACCTGCCTCTCACTTTTTTTAGGATATATACCTAGTAATGGGATTGCTGGGTATTTCTATTTCCAATTTTTAGGGAGCTCTGGTAGCATAGTGGCTAAGACACTTGCCTGCTAACCAGATGACTGGCGGTTCAAACCCACCAGCCACTCCTCGGAAGGAAGGTTGGGCAATCCTACTTCCGTAATGATACTGCCTCGGAAACCCAAGGAGGGGTCGCTATGAGTCGGGGCCGACTCGACGGCACATAACAACAACAACAACAACAAGGAACTACTATATTGATTTCTACACTGTTTTTATCATTTTACATTCCCACTAGTAGTGTATGAGAGTCCCAATCTTTCCATATCCTCATCAGCATTTGTTAGTTTCTGGCACTACACCACCAGAGCTCCTGCCCTAAAGGGTTTCCAAGACTGTAATATTTATAGAAGCAGACTGCCACTTCTTTCTCCTTCAGAGTGGCTCATGGGTTCAAACTGCTGACCTTTTGGTTAGCAGTCTAGGACTTAACCACTACTCTATCAGGGTTCCACTTTCTGACAATAAGATCTTAATGAAAAAACAAACCAAACTCACTGCTGTCAAGTTGATTCCAACTCATAGCGACCCCCATTGGGTTTCTGAGGCTATAAATCTTTACGGAAGTAGATTGCTCCGTCTTCCTTCCATGGAGCGGCTGGTGGGTTTGAACTGCTGACCTTCTGGTTAGCAGCCAGATGCCTTATCTACTACATGACCAAACTACAAAACCAAACTCACTGGCATCAAGTCGATTCTTACTCATAGTGACCCCCTTTGGGTTTCTTGGGTGGTAAATCTTTACCAAAGTAGATTGGCCAGTCTTCCCTCCATGGAGCAGCTGGTGGGTTTGAATTGACCCTTCTTGTCAGCAGCCAAATGCCTTAGGCACTATGCCAACAGAGCTCCTTACTACACCACCAGAGTTCCTTATAAGGTCCTAGTATGTTTAAATTGTAACATTCTGTTTTTGAAGGCAACAAACAGAAAAAGCTAAAAATGGGAAATATGGAAAAGGCTTTAAATATTGACTTTTCAGGAACAATTCCACAATGGAGATGGTATTTTAAAAAAAAGAAACATCCAATCACATTTGTTGTTTGGTAGTATTTTTCATTTTGTTATTATTTGGTCTTGATTTGGCACTATTCACTCACTTCAGAAGCTAATGAACCTACCATTTGTTATTTATTTCAGGTGTCATTCTGTCAGAAGACCAACCTGTAGCACCCATGTCATCTACCTCACCCTGTGTCAAAATGGAAAACTTGACAGTTTCTAAAGTGTACATGCCAGAAACCATGGCCACATCAGCAATACTAATGAAGCCAGTTACCACAGAAATTCTACTTAATAATAAAGTGAAGGAAAGAAGAGGCAAGCTGCTGCCCTCTTTCTGCCACCGATCAGAGGGTGGGCTAGAAGACAAAGATACCTTGAAGAAATTGCCACATTTGTCTTTGTCTCAGTATGACTTGCTAGAAACAAATGTTTCTTTCCAGCCCTGGGGTAGTGAGAACTCAGTCTTGATTCCAGAACCTGCACATCATCCCAAGGGCTCCATCAGGGAACAGCTGCAAAGCAAGTCTCCTCAGGACAGCCTGAGCAGCAGCTGCCCTCAGTGTAACACTGTCATCACCAAACAGGCAGAGGAGCCAGTAGATACTTCCTGCCAGGTAGATCCTCCCTTGGACGAGGAAGTTAACTACTCCGATAGTGAGGTAGCTGTTACCCTGATAGACACTTCCAAACCTGGAGACCCTCTGAGCCTGCATGAGCCCATTAAGATTGTCATCACAATGAGCAGTACCCCCAACTCCCTAACAGACTTGGAAAGCTCTCTCCACCTGAAGGTAATTGGCACAGAGATAATTGGTCCAAAGTCAGATGCTCAGCAAATGACCCCAGGGATAGCCAGTCCTTCAAACAATGAGCAGATGCAAATTCCTGTCATCACCCTTGAGCTGTCTGAAGATGGGGGAGGAGGCACTATTTGTCCTGATGGCAATGGGAGTGAAAGGACACCAGAGAGACTGATGGTGGAGCCATCCTCCAATCAGTGCTCTGGCTATGAATCTGGAGAGGGAGGCAATGCCACAAAAGACTGCAGTCCTTCCCCAAGGGAACACTGTGAAGAAACTTCACCACTCATACTCAATATGGCCTCTGAGTCTGAAGGAGGAAAGGAAGCCCAGGCTAACCTTGATCCTTCATCTTGTAAAAGCAGCCAAGAAAAGAGACATGCCCGGGTGCTCAGTGTGGACAGTGGGACTGATGTTTTCTTAAGTAAGAGTTCCGCAGAAGTTATTAGTGATAAAGAGAAAGCCATACCGACTTCCAAATCTGACTTAGAAGCTAAGGAAGGACAAATACCAAATGAATCCAACTTCCTAGAATTTGTCTCCCTGTTGGAATCGATTAATACTTCCAAGGTAGTAGCAGCAAATCAGTCAAATGGATCAGCAGAGCAGAACAAAGAAAGCAGGCTTCTTGGAGGTACTATTCCACCTCAGTTCTGTTCTGATGACACAAAGAAGGCAATAAATCTCTTTCTAATTTACCTTCTGTGATTTGATTTTGCAAATAGTGGGACAGCTACCATGTAATTTTTTGCTGCTTGACTTTGTAATTGATATTTGATGAATGTGCTAAACTTAGCTGTGTGATGAGCATATATTAAAATTGGGATACTCTTAACAGGAAAGGTGTTATGGATGGCACAAATGATTTTCACTTGACTACTTACCTAAAGGGAGCTCTGGTAGCGTAGTGCCTAAGGCACTTGACTGCTAACCAGAAGGCTGGCGGTTCAAACCCACCAGCCACTCCTCGGAAGGAAGGTTGGGAAATCTACTTCCGTAGTGATACCACATTGGAAACCCAAGGAGGGGTCGCTATGAGTCGGGTCCGACTTGATGGCACACAACAACAACAACAACACTAACCTAAAAGTTGGTACTTTGAACCTACCCAGTAGTGGTGTGGATGAGAGTCTTGGTCATCTGCTTCTGTAAAGATGATAGCCAAGAAAACCCTATGGAGCAGTTCTACTCTGTAACACATGGGGTCACCATGAATCAGAATTGATTCCATGGCAATGGGTTTGATTTTGCTTTCTTCCACTCAGAAATTTAAGACATTGTAATGAATTTTTTGGTTCCCTAGAAGGCAAAGATATTATCAGGGAAATAAGCTATTATATTTTACTGCAGTAACAAGAACTCACTATGAATGTCTCTTCCTTTATAGAATAGATACATTCTGGGAAAGTTGATTATAAAGCAAATCTCTATTGAGTGAATCTACTTCAACTGTTGAATTCCATTATAAAATCCTACATGCCAAATTCCTTAATTATCTAAAGTTGTAAACATAACAGTTAACAAACACTTACATAGCTATTATGCCAGGTACTGTTCTAAGCCCTTTACATACATTAGCTGGGGTAACCACACATAGTGTGATCTTTTACTTTCAAAAGTTTCCTCAGCTGGAATGATAAATTATACAGTTATCCTCACATTAACACATTTACTCCTCTTTAACTTTCTGTTTGGGTGCTAGTATCATTCCTATTTCACAAATGAGGATACTGAAGCTCAGAGATTTTCACTAACTTTACCAAGTTCATATCTCTAGTAAGTGACAGAATTGAGATTTGATCCCAGGAAGTCTAATTTCAGAGACCAAGCTCACAACAATTAAACTATATTGCCTACATGAATATGAAGATTAATTTATTGTCATATGATAATGTATCTCTGGACCTCAGTTTCCTCATTGATAAAATTATGTTACTGGACTAGAATTTTTATAAAATCTTTATATTTCCACAATTCTGTGATTTTTGAGTACGTAATTCCTGCATATATCTGTGTTGAAATTGTGTCTATGTGGTACAATTTCTTGCTGGAAATTGTAGTTGCACTAACTCCTTTTCTTTGCAGTATGTTATAGCATTTTTTAGTGCTGTGATTATTCCAGTGCTGTTGACCAATTTCTGTTCTCTGGGGCAGCCAGAGTTTCCCAAAATGGTGTCTCTGAGAAATTTGCTCTTCATTTTTTCTTTAAAGTGCAATGCCAAAAGGACTGCCATGCATGCTGATTGCTATCTTTTCAAGACATACACCTAAATTTGTTGTTAGATGCTAACAAGTTGATTTGTGACTCATTGTGATTCCATGTGACAGAGACAAACAGCCTCATAGGATTTTCTAAACTGTCATCTTTACAGGTGCAGATTGCCAGGTCTTTCTCCCTCAGAGTCTCTGAGTGAGTTCGAACCACCAAGCTTTCATCTGGCAGCTGAGTGCTTAGCTGCTAGACCACCAAGACTCTTGGCCCTGCTGTCTTAAATTCACTAAGTTTGAGTGCTAATGTAAGGTGGATCTGTTTTCTATTTCTAAACATCTAGGATTTTGCATATACAGCTAGTAAGAATAGGAAATATTTGGTTAAAACTCTTAACAAACAGGAAGTTATGAAAGCAGGATTACTTTCTGATATAAGATTTGGGTGTTAATCATTTATTCAGTATAAAGATTCATGCATCTAGACAAGTACTTCTAATAGAACTTTCTGCATTGATAAAATATCCTGTATCTGCTATCCAATACTGTGTCCACAATCCACATGTAGCTGTTAAGTAGTTGAAATGTGGATAGAAACTGAGAAATTGAATTTTTAATTTTATTGAATATTAGTTAAGCTGAATAGCCACATGTGCCTGGGAACTCCCAAATTAGACAATGCCCATCTACCAAAAAAGCCGAACTCACTGCCATCGAGTTGAATCCAACTCATAGCAACTCCTCCTTGGGTTTCCAAGGTATATCTCTACGGAAATAGATTGCCCAGTCTTCCTTCTGAGGAATAGCTGGTGGGTTTGAACCACCAGCCTCCTGGTTAGCAGTCACATGTCTTAGACACTATGTCACCAGAGATCCCCAGTGCCCATCTAGGTACTTGTATTTCTTCCTGAGAAGCCATATGCGTGGTGGACAGGACATTAGCTTTGGAACCTGGGTGAGCTTGGACAATTTTCTATATCCATGTGAATCACAGTTTCTTCAATAAAACAGGAATAGTAATATGTTATAGATTTATTGTTAGTATTAAATTAGGAAAATACATGAAAAGTGTTGATATTTAATAAATTTTATTCTGATTGTCCCCTCAAAACACATGTATAGTTTATTTGGTTAACTACTTAAATTTCTCCTCTTTTTAAATTCTTCAGCCAGCCATGTTCAATCAGAGCAGTATTAAGTTGGGAATCTAGTGTTGTGCAAAGACATATGGATGATGTAAGGATTTCTATGGAAGCGAATAGGCTTGGTTGTTGCGAACTTGTAGTTAAAGCAGGGAGAGAGGCATTAGAGGGGATTATATGCCTCTTTCAGGAAAAGGAAGAGATTTTTAATTGAAGGATGAAAGGAAAGGGCTATACTAAGTATCCTAGTTCTTGGAAGGCAGTTATTGCCAAGGGTAGTGAATTTGACAGCTAAGTTAAAGATTGGCAATTTTGAAACCATTCAGTGGCTCTGCAGGAGCAAAACCTGGCAATCTGCTTCTATGAACATTACAGCCTAGGAAAGCCTACAAGGCTGCTCTCTGTCACATGGGGTCACTGTGAGTTGAAAATTGACTTGATGACGTAGAACAACATCAATAAGGTTTCTGTGGTATCTTGTAATCTAAAAGCCCAATTTTGGAGAGTATTTACAAAACAACGTGACAGTGTTTAATGACATTAGCAGTCTAGGGAATTGTCTCAGAGTTCTCTAGAAACACAGATATAGTAATATATACACACACAGAGGAATTTACTTCAAGGGATTGACTCACATGATTGTGGGGTCTGGAAGCTGTGGGTCATTTGAGACTTCTGCAGATTTATGTCTGAAGATTCATAGCTTGGGTGTCAGAAAGAGTGCAGAATGGTGAGATCATGAGAGTGCATGTTCTGTAGACTATTTATATGTAGTCTTGAGGCAGACCACACCCTAAGGAAACTCCTTTTTTAACTGATTAATTGATTATATTATATTATTATTGTACATTGTGGAAAGTGATTACATTACATTACACTAGTTTATATGAAAGGAGCTCTGGTGGTGTAGTGGTTAAAGCATTTGATTGCTTACCAAAAAGTTAGTGGTTTGAACCAACTGGCCACTCCATGGAAGAAAGATGAGGCAGTCTACTTCCGTAAAGATTTATGGCCTTGGATACTCAAAAAGGGTCACTATGAGTCAGAATCTACTCGAAGGCAGTGTTTTTGTTTTTTTTTGAGATTACATTATGTAACAGTAACTAGTCTAGTGTTCAACCAAACCACCATAGCCTATTCAAGCTGACATATAAAATTAATAGTCACAAGAATATTCCCTAATCTTTCTCCTGCCTGAAAATAGAACAATTCTTGAGATTGAGCATGTTATGTGATGTCCCAATTCTCTCCAACATGTTCGTATTTCTAGCCTTGTTCATCTCCATAAATCGCTTTAGGATTATCTGTAGGTTTGAGAAATATCTCCAAGTTCAAAGCTATGCAAAACCACAAGCAAATACTTATCAAAATCATTGAAGACACACATTTTTATACAGATATTTTACTTCCAGAAGTTTCTTAGAAAACAATTATGAATATACACAGAGACCCTTACTGAAAAATTGAAAGAGTCTACATTTACCACAATAAACATCTAGTTAAATTAATTATTCTGTATCAATACCATATTATATAACCACCATATTTGGATGATATAGAAGAATATCTAATGACATCAAATATTTATGATGCTTTGAGATAAATATAATACTTATAAACCAACATCTGTATTGTTATTTCATTTTTGTATGATAGAAAAATGACTAATATGATACACATCAAATTGCCTCCAGTGTTTATGTGAAGAATGGCAGAGTTAAGAGTGATTTAATTTTTTTCCTCTTTTCTAGTTTTAAATTACATGAAGTGAATATATATTGTTTTATAAACAGAAAAATCCCTTAAATTTTAAAAGGGAAAAAAAATGTCCTTGTGCTGGTATATCAAATGTATGCATTTAAGAGACAAGAAAACTAAGCCACGATGAAGAGATTTGAACAGTAAATACAACACATGCAGTGTGAAGGGCAGAGTTTTCTACATTTTTTTTCATGCCATTTTTCTGTGCCTTTTTGTGACTTTTAAGCACTAGCTAATGCTCTTTGTTATGATAATGCTTTTTTATAAATGTGTTTATTGAAAACTGTGAAAATTTGTATCTTGACAAGCTGTCAAATGAAATGCAAATATTTTTATACCACTGCCTCCCCCACCACCACCACCAAAAAATAAAAATGGAATAGTTGCTTACACATGTGCTGGGAATGTTTACTTTCAGGACTCACATGGAAGCTATTTTGGCTACCTAATGCCACTTTAGGTAGCCAAAATAGCTTCTATGTGAGTCCTGAAAGTAAACATTCCCAGCACATGTGTAAGCTACTATTCCATTTTTTGTGAGTCGGGGCCGACTCGACGGCAAACAACAACAACAACAACAACAACAATGCCACTTTAACAGAAAATACCACAAATGCGTGGGTTTAACAAGCAGAGATTTATTCTCTTAGAGTTTAGGAGGCTAGAAGTCCGAGTTCAAAGTGCCATCTCAAGGGGCTGGGTGAAAGCCCCTCGACCTTGGACTTCAGCTCTGCCTCTTGCTCCTGGCCCACTGAAGCTGGAGACTTCCCTTTAACTCAGGCAGCTGCTGGCTGCTGAGGCTGACAAACCCAAGGTTGACAAATAAAATGGCATTGTCCTAAGATTACAAAACAACTCTGGACTAGTTCAAGTCCAGAGACAGTTCTAAGATTAGCAGGAAACATGGCAGGCCGCTGATTGAAGACTCAGCTACATATAGGATCCAAGCGTGCCATAAAGCTGCAGTCCATTGTCAAATCTTCTTATATACTGAAAGCAGACCACATCCCTAAAGCAGCTACTCAGCTGCTTGTGGCAGATTCCACCATGGAGTTGATTGCCAGTATCATCATGGGGAATAACTACAAGCAGCTCCCCCACCACTCAAAAACCAGGCCCAGCCAAGCTGACGCATAACCTTAACTACCACAGAAAACAACAAAGTTTCTCTAATTACTTGAAATCTAAGAATGAAAAGCCTTGTTATATACATAACAATTTGATTCATACCCCCTGGGAGCTGACATTTTACTCTTTGAGGCAGATCTTGAGATGTGCCAGTGGTGTGTCTGTCCTAGGAGGTACATTCTGTTCAGAGGTGTTCTCTCAGGCCTGGGCTGGTAAGCTCTAGAGCCTAACATTTACTCATAAGAAGGTAGTTACTGGTACTTTGGTCATGGAAATAAAATGGACATTTTGACTTTAAAAGTGGCTGATGGAGTATGTCTTAATAAGGGAAAAACTGATCCTTAGGGATATCTTTGATTTTCTATAATGCTGTAAGCCAACACCCTTCTTTTGGTCCATTGTTTAAGAGGTCTCTTATCTCCTCCTCACCACCTGCCCCAAGACCAAACCATTCTGTTTCTATTGATCTTGGAATTCTCATTCTTCTTAAAATATTCTCAGGACAAGGACTAAGTGTAGTAGTATCTCACTATATCCACCACAGTATTGGGTGCATAGCTCAAAATCAGCTATAGCTTTATGAAGGAACTATTCTACCTGTAGTTTGAAAATATAGATTTGGAGAATGAATGAGAAGGAAAGATTGATAAGATTATGAAATGATAAATAGAACCTTCCTCCTAAAGGTCTGACATAAGACTAGAAATAACCAGGTATGTCTATGTAATTTTTGCTTTACCTGATGCTGACCATTTATGAGTTATGAACCTTTAAGGTCTAAGTAATCTAAATGAATGATTTCCAGTTGGATTCCAATTGGATTTCCAATCAGAAATCAAGGACGTCCCTGAATGTATATGTAAAATAGATGATGTATATAGATATTTCCAGGGCAATAGACAAAGAGATGTCTCAAACATATAGATACTTATGTTTTTCAAATATATAAAGGTACTTTCATAATTAGGGATCCTGGTGGCACAAAGGTTAAGTGCTCAGCTATGGTCAGTGGTTCAAACCCAACAGTGGCTCCGCAGAAGAGACCTCATGATATACTTCCATAAAGATTACACCTCAGGAAACTCTATGGGACAGTTCTACTATGGCCTACAGGGTTTTTATGAGCTGGAAGATGATACATAATAACAACAGCCTTCATAATTCATAAAATGAAAATTTATTGAAATGCATTCTGAATTCATAGGAGCTGGTGTCACAGTGGTTAAACACTTGGCTTCTAACCAAAAGCTTGGCAGTTCAAACCCACCAGCCATTCCTTGGAAGAAAGATGTACAGTCTGCTTCCATAAAGATTTACAGCCTTGAAAACCCAATGAAGGCAGTTCTGCTTTGTCCTATGTTGTTGTTTGTTGTTATGTGCCATCGAGTCAGATCTGACTCATAGCGACCCCTCCTTGGGTTTCCAAGGCAGTATCATTATGGAAATAGATTGCCTAACCTTCCTTCTAAGGAGTGGCTGGTGGGTTTGAACCACCAGCCTTCTGGTCCTATAGGGTTGCTATAATTAGGAATCAACTTGACAGCACCTTTTTCTTTTTTTGGGGTTGTTATTTACAATTTCTATCTATGCTTCCTTCATATTTGGTAATTTATTTCCAAGTACTTTCACATTTAATATTATATTAACACATAATAAGCAATGTTTTTCAGATAACTTTTCCCAGGAGAAAAAGGAGGAAATTTCAGGAAGTGAAAAGCCCAGTGAACTCAATTCCAGACAAGAAAAAGCAGATGTGCAAAGTCAAGACCACACTAACACCAACCCTGTGTTCACTGAACCTGCCAAGATTACGACCCTGTAAGAATAATTTACTTAGCTTCATGTTGTACAGAGTAAATGAGACATTATTTATTATTGTCTGCTTCTTTTAATGCTTTATTAAGGATAATGTTCCTAATAGTTTTTGAAATTTTTATATATATGTTCAGTTTCCAGGGCAATAGACAAAGACAAATAATCTACAGGGTAACTTCCCAACAAGATAGTTCAGTCTTGCAAGTCATTAGTGGACCTGAAACATCTGTGCAAGATGAAATATCTGTGGATGCTATGCATGTCTTCATTGATGAACATGGTAAGTACTGACAGCTTTTTAATAATGGGCCATGGGGAAAACTGGCAGCTTTATCAGGTCTTGTCATGGTCTCTTAGGCTGAGCACAGACTTTGGAGCAGGAAGATGTGGTCCTATGATTGCTCAAAAATGTTCTTAGAACATGTTCTTCTCCCTTCTGCCTCAGGGCTTTTGTGCATGCCATGTCCCTATGTCAATTCTAAAGGAAAAGCTTTCCTAGACTGCCCAAACTTGATCAAGTCCCTCAGCTTTTTACTGTCTTAACATTCTGCTATTTAACCTCTTTGATTTTATTAAGCTTATAGTTTTTTATTTGAAATTTCATTAATGATATATTCCCCCTCAAAACTGCAAACTTCAAGAGAGTAATGCCCAGCACCCAATAAATACTTGTTGGGTATAGATTGAAAATTTGTCCTTGATATATCATTTTACTGTCTTATAAAACTAAAGATTACATCATTGGAAACCCTATGGGGCAGTTCCACCCTGAAGCAACCCTGGTGGTGCAGTGGTTAAGCACCTAGCGGCTAGATGAAAGTTGGCAGTTTGAACCCACCAAGAGCTAAAATCCATTGAATGGGGGAAAAGACAGTCTCTTTAATAAATGGTGCTGGCAAAACTGGATATCCATTTGCAGAAAAATAAAACAAGATCCATACCTCATACCATATACAAAAAACTAATTCAAGATGGGCCAAAGATTTAGATGAAAACCTAAAACATTAAAAATCATCAAAACAAAATTAAAGGCAAACTTAGGGGCCGTACATTATGGCATAGTCTACCAAACAACCAGAAATGCACAAGTAGCAGAAGATAGACATATTTTTGTCTTTCATATGAGAGAAGTTTTCTGCTAGCAAATCTTCAAAAATTTTCTTGCCTTTTTAGTCCCCTCCTGTTCTGGGATTCCAAGCACAGATACATTTTTCCCCTTGATAGTATCCCATATAATTCTTAGGCTTTCTTCATTCTTCTTCATTCTTTTTTTCTGATTTTTCCTTATACAAATTGGTATCAAGGAATTTGTCTTCTGATTCACTGGTCCATTCTTCAGTTGACTCAATTCTATTCTTTTGTCCTTGTAATGTATTACCTCTACCTGTGGTTTTTATGTTAATATCCTGGCTTTCTAATTGCTGTTTTTTGTATGGTTTCTAATTGTCCATTTATTTTGTCATTTTTGCATGTCTGTTGGTTTATTGAATTCTTCTATGCTAGTGTCTGTATTTTCCTTCATTTTGTTTGTGGTTTCCTTGAGCCCTTGAATGGCTTTCACTCTTTCTATATGTATCTTTTGAATTCCTTGTCAGATATTTCTATTACCTGCTCTTCCTTAGGGAGGTTTCCTGGGTCTTTATTTAGCTCACTTGCTTGTGCCATCTTGCCTTGTTTCTTGGCTTGATTTGAAGTTGTCTATTGTCTCCAATGCATTTTGGAGTTGTCATATTTAATTTTTGATTATGTGTTGGTTTGTCTCACCCTGATTTTTTGTTTTGCTTTATTTGGTATATCGAGGTAAGTGAGTGTATGTGCTTCTTTACATGCTAGTTTTGTAGCACTGGAGCACTCTGAAACTATCTTTGAGTGGGTGGAGTAACTGGTGGGAATGTGAGTCTCTGTTCACTGGTTGTGAAGAGTAGCTGCAGATGGGGTGAGCAAGTGTTGTCCACTGTTGTTTTTGACCCAGTGGTGCAGGAGCAGGTGGTGATGCTCACCTAGTGGGTAGGGTAGTAGATGGTAAGTGTGTTAGGTATGGCTGACTTTTGGGAGAACAATGTCTACTTCCCATTAGAGTAGGCAGAAAAAGAAAAAGAAAAAAATGAGTGGTGGATGAGAAAAAGATGGGTAAAAATAGAAGAGGAAGAAGGAGAAGGGGAAGAGGAAGAGGTAAAACTAAATAAAAAGAAAGAAAAAGTGGAAAATATAAAAGGAAATAAAAGGAAAAATATAACTGGGGGTGAGTAGTGCTCTGGTGGCACTCTGGTTAAGGAGTTGGGCTGCTAACCAAAAGGTCAGTGGTTCAAACTGCTCTGTGGGAGAAAGACAAGACACTCTGCTTCCATAAAGATTTATAGCCTTGCAAACCCTATGGGTGTCACTATCTTTTGGAATTGACTTTATAGCAGTGGGTTTAGTGCAGCTATGGTCAACTAGAAGCAGTTGAAGCAAGTGGCTGTCTTGAGATCCATGGGAATGCATGCCTGTGGAGGGGGTAGGACACTGGTGAATGGTCCACACGAGTGTGCATCTCTGACAGCAGAGGCCACAGGGCATGCATCTATAGAGTTCTGTGAAAGTAAGACTTGTCAATCACAAGGCTGCTGGACTGCAGAGTGTGCCTATGCTCATCTCCTTCTGCTTTGGATGCAGTGTAGTGAGTGGCTTCTGGAGGTAGGGGCAGCCTGAGTGAACTGGGTTGATAGGGGGGCAGCAGGAGGGGCCTCCCTAGCCACCTGGTTGGTGTGAGTGGGAGGGAGTTTTACCCCTAGTCACTGGGAAGGTGTGGTGAGGAAACCAGTAGAAAGCATCCCTCTAGTTTCAGTTCACTGATGTGAATCTAGTGCACTTCTGGGTGAGCACAGTCAGTTATCTAGTTCCTGCTTGGACTCAATCAAATGGGGGGCACCTGCAGTCCAGTGTCTCCAACTGCCACCCCACAGGTGGCATGGGTTCTCAACCAAAACAACTAGTGTTCACTGGCAGTGACTTGTTTTATCCTCCTTCACTGGCTCCCTCCATGCTCTGCAATCACCTATGCCAGTAAGATTCTTGCCCATGTCCCTGCACTTCTTTCCTCTCTCAGATCCAGCTTATATTCTGCTCACCTTGTTTCACTCCAGATCTGTACACATTGTATCTCTGTCCCAATGTAGATTCCATGAAGTTTGTTTCTCCTTGCCTGTGTATGATGCCTTCTGCATCTCAAAATGGCCATGCTTCATCAGGCCCCAGGTATTCTCTGTCCCAGTCACTGTCTTTGCTCTATCTCCTTTTCCAGTCAGCACTCAGTCTAATTCTCCATCCCTTATTTGATGCTCAGTATCCCAGGATCATCATCTGGAACTGTTTCACTTAGTTTTTAGGGTCTCTGTTGTAGAGGGACTGGGCAAAGTGTATCACCAGGACATCATCTTTTCTCCTCCGCTATAATGTTTCTCTTTTAATGGAGTTAGCCTTTAAGTTCAGACCCAGCATTCCAATCCACATTTTAGTTTCTCACATTCCTGGCTAATTATTCTCTTTGTGTCATCTGAAGAAGGTATTCCTGAGAACTCTTTTGGAGAGAGACTTTTAGAAAAGCAACTGATTTTCACACCTCAATGCCCTGAATCCTCTTTAGAGAGCTAATTTAACTTTGTATGTTAATTCTGCTCCTGATTCCCCTCATTAGCAGGCACCTCATCAGTCCAGTGGTGTGACAGCTCATTTGCACAGTCAGGTGGAGATACCTTCATGTGCCACCTATCACAACACATGCCGGTGAAGCCTCTTTGTCCACACAATACTGATATGACTGTAGAGAAAACATCCAGTTGCAACATAGAACAGATCACATTGACATGTGATGAGAATACACACGAAAAAAGAAGAAAATATATAAAAGTTGAATGAAAAGAAGATACAAATCAATCGTTCAAAAGTAATTAAGTGATAAATAACCAAGTGAAAATTTATCTAAAAATTTTCTTGGTGAGGTATGTCAAAGACATTTTCTTAATGAGGTTTCTTTTAGATGTTCTTCATCTTCTCATGACAAACATTTTGGAAAGAAATATAAGGGATGGAACATATTGTTAACTGTAATTATTAAAGCAGTCCAAAAGGAGTTCCTTCTAACTTGAATATAGCATAAACTGAAATGATAATATGCAAATGATTGTGTAACATCTTTTCCTGAAATTTCTTGATTTTGCAGGGGAAATTAGATCCTGTTATTTAAAATCTGGAAATCAGAAAGAAGAACTTTTGCAACATCCGCTATCAAATTATGACTGTTTTTCTAAAACTCGGTAAGTGGAGCTTTATTTTTAGGTTTAGGAGCTGTGATATTGCTGGGGGACATGCAACTTATTCTAACTGAAAAGGAAATGAAGTATCCTGGTGTAGAATGAATGTGTTAGTCAGCTTGTAGTTGTCAAGGCCCATGATTTTAGTAAAAAAGAAAAAGAAAGTCTAACTTTGTAGAATAAGGAAAAATAAAATAACTTTTCATAGTAGCCACTTCCAGAAATGAACATAATATGTAGCTATAATTAGGGAAGAACTCTACATAAGCATAATTTAGGAAATATGATGAGGCAGCATAAGAACACATTGTTAAACTTATACAAATGGTGGGCTAGAAATGTAGTTGTTGTTGTTGTTGTTATATGCCATCGAGTCGGCCTGACTCATAGCGACCCCTCCTTGGGTTTCCGAGGCGGTATCGCTATGGAAGTAGGATTGCCCAACCTTCCTTCCGAGGAGTGGCTGGTGGGTTTGAACCGCCAGCCTTCTGGTGAGCAGTCAAGTGCCTTAGGCACTATGCTACCAGACCTCCTAGAAATGTAGTTAGTTCTCGTTAACACAGATGAAGCTAGACTGTTTGTAGATGGATAGTCTAAACAACTTTACTATTTTACTTCAGAATGTGTTGAATAGTTTTCTTAATTATTTTAACTAAGTTCATATTAAATTAGCTTGCATATCCTGAACATACAGTAATTAATGGCAACATTAGGCAAACTATAAATCATCTGAGTAGCAGACTAAAGACATACTGAGTTTAAAGATTCTTTACCCATAATCCAGATTAATATGTGTCAGTTGGTTGTTCTAAGTGTAGAACATCTCTGTTTCTTTAGAACTGTATGTAATGTTGAGAATTTACAGGAGATGTTGTGGTATAACTGGAATGTCTTAGGCTTCATGTCTGGAAAAGTACAAAAGGAGTTATGTTGTTGTTAGTTGCTGTGGAGTCAACTTTGATTCATGGTGACCCCATATACAACAGAATGAAACTTTGCCTGGACCTATGCCCTCTTTGTGATTATTGGTATGCTAAAGTTGTGACTATTGTGTCTTGTCTTCCAACATAGAGGGCTTATTTTTCAGCATTGTATTGGGCACTAAGGAGCCCTGGATGCACAGTGGTTAAACACTTGGCTGCTAACCAGAAGAGTGGTGGGTTGAATCTACCAGTGACTCCACAGGAGAAAAGACCTGATGATCTGCTTCTATAAAGATTACATCCTAGGAAACCCTATGGAGTAGTTTTACTCTGTCCTTTAGTGTCATGATGAATCAGAATCAATAGTGCACAACAACATATAGGACAATATTTTGTTGTGATCTATATATAGTATTTCATTGCCTAATTTTTTGAGGTAGATTGCCAGGCCTTTCTCCCGAGTTTCATTTTGTCTGGAAGCTCCACCAAAACCAGTGGCATAGCTTCCAGTATCATAGCAACATGCAGGCTATGACAAACTGACAGATGTGTGGTGGAAAAGTAATTACGTTTTTGTTGTTATTAGGTGCCATTGAGTCAGCTCTGACTCATAGCCACACTATATACAACAGAATGAAACACTGCCTGGTCATGTGCCATCCTCAAAATACTTGCTTTACCTGAGCCTATCATTACAGTCACTGAGTCAATTCATCTTGTTGAGGGTCTTCCCCTTTTTTGCTTACCCTCCACTTTACCAGGCATGAAATCCTTTTCCACGGAATGGTCCCTTCTAACAACATGATCAAAGTAGGTGAGATGAAGTCTGGACATTCTTGCTTCCAAGGAGCATTCCAGCTGCACTTCCTCCAGGACAGATCTGTTCATTCTTCTGTAAGTCCATGGTATTTTCAGTATTCTTCACCAACACCACAACTCAAAAGCATCAGCTCTTCTTTGTTGTTGTTGTTGTTAGGTGCCATCAAGTCATCTCCAACTTATAGCAACCCCATGCACAGGAGAATGAAACACTGCCCAGTCCTGTGCCAACTCCACAATGCTTGCTGTACTTGAGCCCATTGTTGTAGCCACTGTGTCAGTCCTACTTGTTGAGGGCCTTCCCCTCTTTTGTGACCATCCACTTTAACATGCATGATATACTTCTCCAGGGAATGGTTCCTTCTTACAACATGACCATCATAACCAGAGTAGGTGAGATGAAGTCTGGCCATTTTCATTTCCAAGGAGCATTCTGGCTGCACTTTTTCCAGGACAGTTTGGTAGTTTTTTTTAGCAGTGGTACTTCCAACATTCTTCACCAGCACCACAACTCAAAAGCATTGACTCTTCTTTGGTCTTCTTTATTCATTGGCCAGCTCTCACATTCATATGAGGCAATTGAAAATACTATGCCTTGTGTCAGGTGCACCTTAGTCCTCAAGGAGACATTTTTGCTCTTTAGCACTTGAAAGAGGTCTTTTGCAGCCGATTTGCCCAGTGCTATATATTGACCCACCAGCCACTCCTCGGAAGGAAGGTTGGGCAATCCTACTTCCGTAGTGATACTGCCTCGGAAACCCAAGGAGGGGTCGCTATGAGTCAGGGCTGACTCGACGGCATATAACAACAATATATTGTCTGGTATCTTGACTGCTGCTTTCATTGGTGTTGATTATAGAAGTAATATGAAGTCTTTGACAACTTCAGTGTTTTCTCTGTTCATCATGATGCTGCTTATAGATCTAGTTGTGAAGATTTTTGTTTTCTTTATATTGAGATGTAATCCATACTGCAGACCATTCTGCAGTCTTCATCAGTAAGTGTTTCAAGTCATCCTCACTTTCAGCAAGCAAAGTTGTGCCATCTGCATATTGCAGTGTGTTAATGATTCTTCTTCCAATCCTGATGCCACATTTTTCTTCCCATAGTCCAGCTTCTTGGATTATTTGCTCAGTATACAGATTGAATAAGTATGGTAAAAGGATACAACCCTGGTGTACTCTCTTCTTGATTTTAAACCATGCAGTGTCCCCTTGTTTGAATGACAACCCCCTGGTCTATTTACAGGTTCCTCATGAGTACAAACAAGTGTTCTGGAATTCCAGCAGGAATTTCAGAGCTCTTCTTTGGTCTTCCTTATTCATTGTACAGCTTTCATATGTATATGAGGCTATTAAAAATGCCATGGCTTGGGTTAGGCACACTTTAGTCTTCAAAGAGACGTTTTTGCTCTTCAACATTCCAAATAGGTCTTTTGCAGCAGATTTGCCCATTGTAATACGACATCTGATTTCTTGACTGCTTCTTCCATGGGTGTTGATTGTGGATACAAATAATATGAAATCTTTGACAACTTCAATCTTTTCTCCATTTATTATGATGCTGCTTATTGGTCCAGTTGTGAAGATTTTCATTTTCTTTATGTTCAAGTATAATCCATACTACAGACTGTAGTCTTTAATTTTCATCATTAAGTGCTTTAAGTCATCTTTACTTTCAGCAAGCTAGGTTGTGTCATCTGCATATCACAGATTGTTAATGAGTCTTCCTCCAACCTGATGCCATGTTCAATTTCATACAGTCCAACTTCTTGGATTTTACTCAGCATATACATTGGATAAGTGTGTTGAAAGGATACAACCCTGATACATACCTTTCCCAATTTTAGGCCATGCAGTATCCCCTTGTTCTATTCAAACAACAGCCTCTTAGACTATTTACAGGTTCCTCATGAGTACAATTAAGTGTTCTGGAATTCCCATTCTTCTCAATATTATCCATAATTTGTTATGATCCACACAGGGATTGCTCTTGCATAGTCAATAAAACACAAGTAAGCATCTTTCTGGTACTCTTTGCTTTCAGCCAAGATCCATCTGACATCAGCAATAATATCCCTAATTCCACATCCTCTTCTGAATCCAGCTTGCATTTCTGGTAGTTCCCTGTCAATATACTGCGGCAACCATTTTTGAATTCAGCAAAATTTTACTTACATGTTATAATCATTTTATTGCTCAATAATTTCCACATTCTGTGGAATCACCTTTATTTGGAATGGGTACAAATATGTATCTCTTCTAGACAGTTAGCCAGTTAGCTGTCTTCCAAATTTCTTGGCAAAAATGAGTAAGTGCTTCCAGCATGACATCTGTTTGTTGAAACATCTCAATGGGTATTCCATCAATTCCTGGAGCCCTGTTTTTCACCAGTCCCTTCAGTGTAGCTTTAACTTCTTCCTTCAATACCATTGGTTCTTCATCATATGCCACCTCCTGAAATAGATGAGCATCAACCAATTCTTTTTTGTCCAGTGATTCTGTATATTCCTTCCATCTTCTTTTGACGTGTCCTGCATCAATAGTTTGCCTATAGAATTTTTCATTATGGCACCTTGAGGCTTAAATTTTTTCTTCAGTTCTTTCAGCTTGAGAAATTCCTAGTGTCTTCTCCCCTTTTGGTTTTCTAACTCCTAGTCTTTGCATATTTCTTTATAATAATTGACTTTTTCTTCTGGAGCTGCTCTTTGAAATCTTCTGTTTAACTCTTTTATCTTGTCAGTTCTTCCATTTTCTTTAGCTACTCTCCATTCAAGAGCAAGTTTCAGCATCCCTTCTGACATATCATTTTCTTTTTTACTTCCTTTCCTGTCTTTTAAATGATTTTTTGCTTTCTTCCTGTGTGATGTTCTTGATGTCATCCCACAATGCGTCTGATCTTCCGTCACTGGTGCTTAATACATCAAATGTATTCTTTAGATGGTCTCTAAATTCAAGTGGGATATAATCAAGGCAATATTTTGATTTGTGTGGACTTGTTTTAATTGTCTTCAGCTTCACCTTCAACTTGCATATAAGCAATTGATGGTCTGTTCCACAATTAGCTCCTGGACTTGTTTTGATTGAAGATACTCAGCTTTTCAATGGCCTCTTTCCACAAATGTAGTCCATCTGGTTCCTGTGTATTCCATCTGGCAAAGTCCACATGTAGAGCCACCATTTATGTTGTTGAAAAAAGGTGTTTGCAATGAATAAGTCATTGGTCTTGCAAAATTCTATCATGCGATCTCTGATGTCATTT